GCTGCAGGATATCTGTGACAAAGAATTTGCCTCAATCCATCATAGAGGTCTGTATTTTAACATCAGTCCATTTGAATACAATATGTATAGAGTTAAGATTGGCTTTAATTCCATATTACCTCAACAGCTGGTGGTGAAGAGCAGCAGCAATCAGGAGGTGAGTCAGTGGACCAAAGTATTATTGAAAATATACATATTTTTTCTCCTCACAAAGATCCAGCTGTTGACATTTCAAAAGTCTGAATTTTAATATTATATTTTAAATGTTGTAAGCATTACAAATGAAACCCCCTTCCACTGTATTGTTTTGCAGTGAAAATATCCAAGATGAATGTCTCTGAAATATTCTCATAGGTGTCTCTGGAGTTACCAACACTGAGCAGAACATGGAGGAGCCCGAAACCAGAGCTGACTTCCTGCAGTGTGAGTGCATCTTTTCTAAACTCACAGCCCAATATTCAGCCATTTGGTCCACATATCTTAACCTTGCACAAAGACAGATGTGGAAAGTAACAAAAACAGTAGAAAAGTACTTTACTGTAGTGATTGTAGTTTACATTTTTCTAATACTTCTGTACCTTAATCTTACAGTAGTGGGTGGAACTTTTTTTTTTTTTACCCTAACCCTAACTTTTCCTTTACATTTTTCCCATCATCATCTCAGATGCTTGTAGACTCAGCCTGGATCGCACCACAGCTCATGAGGACCTGACCATCTCTGCAGAAGACACCGAGGTGAGGCTGAACTCTCCGAAGATGAACGACCTTGGTCTTCGTTCCCCGGACAGGTTCTTCCACCGCATGCAGGTGCTGTGCAAGGAGGGGCTGGATGCCGACCGCTGCTACTATGAGGTCGAGGTGGAAGGAGACAAGGCTGAGATCGCTCTCGCCTACAGGGGGATGAACAGAAAGACTCGAACCCACCTGTCAGCTTTTGGGGCAAATGCATGTTCCTGGAGTCTTGATCGCTTCTCTAAGTACTCGGTGAGCCACAAAGCTGAAAGCGTTGAGCTCACATCATCACCGAGTCACGGCCGGATCGGCGTTTATCTGAAGTTTAAAGAGGGAACTCTTGCTTTCTACGAGGTGTCGGGGTCGGACAGTATGCTGTTTCTTTACAAGCTGCAGGCTACGTTCACAGAGCCTCTGTATCCGGGCTTCTGGCTCGAAAAGGGATGTTGCATCAGGATCTGTGATCTACCTGAGAGGGACCGTTGAAACAGGTTGAGATAGTTAGCTGCAGCACTCACAGCTCTCCGCAATGGCCACAGTATACTTAAAGATGGCCGCCTCTCTGACAATCCTGCTATGTTTTTTTAAATGGGAATATCTCTTTTACTTCTGTCTTCTTTTGATTGTTTTCTGAAGATTAGTGGTTTTCTTATAGGGGTTTTACAATATAAAGTAGCCTAAAAATAGTCTTAATTAAACAGTATATCCATTTAAGCCCACTGTGCAGGCTGTTGGGTTGACCCAATTACATATTTGTGTTCACTGGACCGAACAGGACTTTGGTGCAAAGAGGAACCAACATTACCATCCTCATCAAAGTCTTATTGTGCTTCTGCTTGTCCTTACCCTTCTCGCATACATGAAATCACGAGAACATCATGAGGGCATTTCTTCAAATTTTGCTCAAACTTTGTGCCAAAATGTAATTATGATTTATTTGATATTATTTTCATGTAATAGTCTACCTATTGTCTTTTATATTACTATAATTATTTTGTATATATCAACACCAGTAAAACCATAACACAAAAGCTTTGTGTGCAGCTGTTTGTATTCTGAAAACTGTCAGTAGCTATACAATATGTATTGATTGAAATGGGTTACTTATTAATATCTGTCTGTATTTAGTTCTGTATCTTTTTCAATAAGAAACGGAAGATAAACATTCCCAATGAAAATGTAATTTTCACCATGAAAATTTTGACTTCAAACAAAACAGAAATACAAAAGCATCTTGTCCACTCTTTATTTATTCATATTGTTGGTCATGTTCACATTTTTTGTCTTTTTACAATAGTTGTCAGTATCATACAATCATTATATGATTGAGGAAAGGGAGAGAGAGGAGCTGTCAAGGGACATCTATAAGGTGTCTCCTGTACAGACAGTGCTTAAAACATGTGCTCAATAAGGCCCTGCACACACAGGTAAGAAGAAGGAAAACCACACACGCACACACGCACACACACAGGCACACCAGCTCTTGTAAGGAAGAGTTAACTTCCCTTTGGCTGTAAGAGGGCAGTTCCTAATCATCGCTAACTCACACTATGTGTCAATCTCAAATTATTCTCCATTTTAATATCTGGATATTGCTTTTACACTACGAGGACAACAAAACAAATGCTAACTTTTTTTGCAGTCCTAGTGAAAAAAGTGCATTAATTACATTCATCATTACTTTATGTTGCATTTACTGCTAAAACAGTTACCTATTAAGACATATATATATATATATAATTCACATGGGTAAAATCTATCATCAGAATCTTTTGGTTATAATTTTATTTACAGACTTGAACAACAGAGGGATCTCTATATGACACACTCAGCAGTGGCTGAATCACACAGACTAAAACAAAACGGGAAAGAAAACGGGATGTTTAGAACCACACTATCAGTCCTGCAAGACAGTGATGATCTTTGAAGTGAATAAAGTGACCAATCTATGATAATATATATTATTAAAAGTTGTTTTAATTGTATTTTGGAGGCCATGTTATTTCATACAAAGTTTAAGAGACGGACTGGATTTCTTTTGAGAGATATCCAGTAATGAACTTGATGTGTTGTAAAAGATAGACGGGCTATAAGCTGCTGTGGAAAGTAGATTTGTTTACTAATTGTCATTTTGGTGTTAGTCGTTTCAGATTGTTTTAGTCGATAAAGCCTAGAATTCTTTTGTGTCTTTTCTTCAAGCTGAAAAAAAATATTTTTAGTCAAGGACAACCTCAAGACAGCTGATGCTAGTGTGGCTCAAAACAAGCAGAGCAGTGACTCTATAAAGTGGGGACCGGGGAGTGGACGTCAGCTGACAGCAGGTGGAGCCAGACGAACACAACAGAGATCCAGCTGCTGTTTACACTAAACCTGACATCACCTCCACCTCCCAGCCGCTTTTAAAACCCCACAACAAAAACTACAAAATAGATATGTCTTTAAATATACAATTGAAATAAGAATCACAAAAGAAGAAGAAAAAGAAGACAAAATATACATTATATTTATATATATATATATATACTGGTCACTTTTAAAAGATAAATCTTTGTTGTTCGTCACACCTACACACAATGCAAATTTACAGTAATATAAATATAGTCCATTTAATTCCTTGCGCCATGGCTTTGAATATTGTGATAAAAAAATAAATAAAGGTATATCCTCTTCCATGTAACAGGAAAGAGAATGTGCTCAGGTCTATTCAGTACCAGTGTGCATGGGTTCAGTGTGCATGGGTTCAGTGTCTTAGATCTTCATCACACGGAAATATCTGTCTGTTACAATGACACTTCGTAAGCTTTATTTTTCCACAAATATACAGAAAACTTGTGCATTTGAGCACATGTGTGTTTTTACTTGTGCATATCAGGTCCTAGATTACATAGGTTAATACTAAGTTTGTGTTTAATATTCCATTATTTTGATTTGACTTTCTTTAACATTTTGGTCCGTTCCTGATTTTTCTGTCCTTTTCATTGTGTTTTTGGTCCATATTGACCTCAGTTTGTGCTCCAACAGAAATATATATTGCTTCTCATTGTATGGTACACATTCAACGTTGTTAATTCACTTGTATAAGTGTGAATCTTTTTTGTGCTTTTGAAGCAAGAATGTCCGAACTACATCAGCGAGGGATAAACATTTGTATCAAATTCAAATCAACAAACTGTGCTTTCTGTCACTGCAGAATGTGTTCAAGCATCATGAGTTTAAAACCAGGTCTCTGTTGTACTTTCAGCGTACCTCACTTCAGCATTTCCTTTCTGTTATTCTGTTACATGATTTATATTGCAAGTCTTTTGCTTTTTAATTGTAACTCTTTGGTGGAGAAACTGAAATGAGTGACTTTCACAATTTATCGTGTATGTGTTACGGACAATGGGACATCATTATTATCCATATCATATTACTCTACTGCATACCACTGTTTACGGAATGAACAATACTGGCTACACACAAAAAACAGCAGGGAATGGGAATGAAACATACATGGATATCTTTATAGCAGCCTTAAACATAGCTTACAATACATAGAGCCCTGCGAAAACAGACCAACAAGAGAAGGGTTTTCAAGCTACAACAGAACAGAGGTGCTTGTGTAGCCACACTGTTAAGGCTGGGCAATATGTTATATCGATATGGTGATATTCGACTAAATGATGTCTTGAAATTTGTAATATTTTGTTGCACTTGACATGTACGCAGTTTGATTGACATAAAATGATAATGGCTTTCCTTTCCTTCTTCGCAGACACCGGATGAAAGCCCAATTTTAGGGAAGCGTCTGTCCTGAAGTGGTTTAACTTCTGAAAACATTGCCAATCAAATATGGGACATCTGGTCACCCTAAAGGGAAGTGATGTATTTGTGTGTTGTAGCAGTAATTTTATATAACATAATTACCCTAACCCTAACCCAGACCTCCAATATTGCAAAATCAAGCTATTTGGTAAAAAAATGTGTTTCTCGACATTGCCCAGCCCACAGTATGTACTCACTGGGATCTCTGCATAAGATTTCATAGAAAATAACTTTGTATACTTTCCTAACTCTTCGACTGAGTGGCTTAGACACACAGCATGACCAAGAGAGGCTTTAAACCTCAAAATAATTAAACTCACAATAATCTTTGCTCTCTTTGCCAGTGCAAAGCAGCAGGACCAAACCGGCTCCACTACATTCATTCTTACAGGTCCCTGCACTGTGCAAACAGGGATGTACGTTAAACTGTGTGTGTGTGTGTGTGTGTGTGTGTGTGTGTGTGTGTGTGTGTGTGTGTGTGTGTGTGTGTGTGTGTTGTGGGGGGGGCTTTGACTGCTGAGGATCCTTATACTAAGGCATAGAAAAGCAGATCTCAGAACCTTTTCTTAAGCACTTAAACAGCTTGATTTCAGTGTGTGATCTACTGGCAAGAGCTGTTTTTTTTCTCCTGCTGCAGGTTGATCTCGATGTTATTTGGGAAGCATGTGTTCAGATGAATTGGGCGGCTACATACAGTTTTATGGCGTCAGTAGGGCAGTGGTGGGGATGCTTGGCAGTGACCCCCATGGAGACTTTATGGCTGGAGGGTAAACTGTGCGAGGACTGGGCGTCAGACGAGTCAAGAGTCAGACTCTGGCGTGGCGGGTGTGATCGGAGTAGTCGGTGTGGTTGGGCTGACGGCTGGGTTCTGGTAGCTCGTACCGTAGCAGATGTTTGGAGACAGCGAGTTGGGGTCTAGGGTTTTGTTCCCTGCTGGGGTCAGATAGGGCCGGCCTGCCGGAGCTATAGGTGGCGCCTCGCCCGGTTTGGCACCAAGAATAAACCTGGACTCGTCCTGCTCCTCCAGGTTGGAGATGTCCTTCATCATGGTTTTACGGTAGGAGACAGACAGCTTGTTGGAGCCGTCCGACATGAGGTTGAAGCGTCTGGCGATGAAGACAATAGGGAGTGGCAGCATGGCCACGACGATGAGAGAGAAGCACATGGTCAGAGCCCAGGGAGGATAGCTCTGGAAGCGTTCCTCAGCCTGCAGACACAAACAGAGGGATGAGTGACTAGAAGAGCACACAGGTTACAATCTTTGCCTTTGAGAACACAGAGTTTCTTTTTGGTTTGTCAGCTTTCATTCAGACTGAAGTATCTTAATAACTAATAGCTTGATGTCATTACATTCTCTAAAGACATTCATGTTTCCCAGTGGATAAATCTGGCTAACGTTGGTTTTTCCCATACTTATCCTTTAGCACCACCATGAAGTCATGTTTTTATGTGCCCTTATCACATTTACCAGGAAACTATACAAAATGGTAAAATAAATAAATAATGGAAGGCAGCTAGAAAGCAAATGCGCAGACACAAACACACACACACACACACACACACACACACACACACACACACACACACACACACACACACACACACACACACACACACACACACACTGACCAGCTCTTGGACCCAGGCGTTGTATCCTGGGGGGATGATGGCCATCTCGATGACGGTGGCTGAGATGAGCAAGATGAGACAGATGGGGGAGACGTACTTCCACAGATAGAAATAGATTATACATGGTCGGAAACCCAACATGTCCTCCAGATCCTGCATGAACCTGGGGGAAAAGAAACAAGAAACACATTACGGGTATGAACAAGCTCCTCTACACTATTAAGCACTAATTGAGTGTAACTAAAACCACAGCTGGTTGTACCTTTTTGTGCCATAAATCCAAGCTACAGACACATTCTCCAGGATGACCACCACTGTGAGAGGTAGTCCAGCAGAGTAGTCATCAAACATGGTGACATAGTAGTTCCCTGAGCGTTGGACGAACAGCAGGCCACAGAAGAAGGCCACAACGCAGCAACACACTGAAACAAACCCAGAGAAGAAACAAAATGAGAACGCCTTCAGAGGAGACAAGGACACTTTGGTAAAATAAAGTGAAAAATAAATGGTTTTCTTTTCAGTTGTTTTGCATACAGTACACTCAGAGTAAGACTAATGCAGCCTAAATGTGTTTAAATGCGTTGCTGAGTAAGCCTGTGTAAACTCCTAATAGCATATTGTGTCGGTTAGCTTTCAGTCAAAGTCAACTTTATTGTCAATCTTCCAGTTTGTGTGTACAGATAGGGAGATCGAAATACTGTTTCCCACAATCCTGAATATAAAAACAAATGTATATAGAATATAAAAATATGAAAATAAAATATGTGTGCAAATATGTATGTCTATACACAGTCAAAGACACATTTTTACATGTGCACACATTTAGACCTAAATAAAGACACAACAATCAATATATACAAAATAACAGTCACTTCAATATTTTGAGAATGTACATTAGTGCAGATTGTCCATCGAATGTGCAAAAATAAATATTAGTGCAAGATTGTCCATAGAATGTGCATTATTGCAATATTGTCCATAGCAGCATAAAGAGTGTCTGGTGCTGGATTTGAGTGTGTGGGGGAGTTATAGTCCAGTGGGGGCAGGGGGGAGAGGTGGGAGTGAGCTTACCTGTGAAAAGCTCCCTATTGACCTTGTAGGTGTCGAGGACAGGTGTGGTGATGCCCGTCATGGTGCCGATCATGCTGCCCAGGCCGAGGTTGATGAGCATGAAGAAGAACATGACCGACCAGAACGGAGACCATGGGAAGTGAGTCATGGCCTCTGTGAAGGCGATGAAGGCCAAACCGGTGCCCTGGACTGACTGCAGAGAGAGAGACACTTAAATAAGTAGGAGAACTACGTTGTGTAAGAGGCACACCGCAGAACATGCCAAAGACTCGCCTTGTTGAGCTCGTCCTCCAGCAAACAAGGATCCAGACCCAGCTGGGCGAAGCCGTCCTCCTTCACCGTCTTGATGACCCTGTATACCTCAGCGTAGTCTGATGTGCTGAGTTGGGAGAAGTTTAAGTGTGGAGGGATGAGATCGTAGCTCAGGACGCTAGAGTTAAGGTATCCCAGGATCTTCTCTGTGTTCCTACAGAGATAAAACATAAACAATTAAGTAGCCATAAAACTGAGTATTTCAAAGAGCATATCTAACAGCAGTGCAAGGGCTATTTTGTACCTTTAGTTGTTAGTTGAAAAATGCTTTAATGATCATGGAAATACATTAGAAACTTTTCCGATATGCTTCTTGCCAGAAATTATGACCTGGTTACTCAAGATAATTCACAGACCTTGTTGTGAGCAGTTTCATGTAGGAAGTATTTTCTTTGAATTATCACCAGAAAAGGGAAAAGGAAGTGTATGAACTGAAGATACAGTCTGCTGAAACTTTACTAGTAAAATTATTTAAATGAAAATTGGATTATAGGTAGCCTATTTATCATTGCACAACATGTAGATATTACTGTGAAGATGCTACTTTTGTTGATGCATCTACTGTACTTAAACATAAACATAACCAAAACAATTATAGACACACCAAACATACGGTATGAATGGTGCTTAAGGATAAAAGCTTCTGCAGATACGAACTTACTCTGCGATGCACTTTTCATTCATGATATTTGCCTTGAAGCCCAGCACGGCGAACACTACCAGCGTGGCCAGAATGGAGGTTAAGAAGTTAATGAAAGAGACGAGCACAGCATCAAAATGACAGTTGTTATCGATCTTGTTGTAGCTGGAGAAGGCTATGACCCCTCCGAACCCCAGACCCAGGGCGAAGAACACCTGGGTGGCTGCCTCTCTCCACACCTTTGGCTCCAGCATCTTCTCCAACTGTGAGAGATGGACAGAGAAAATCAGATCGAGGAGAATTTCAACATGGCTGATTAAGAATACTGTGAGGAAGAAAGTCTCACCTTGGGAGTGAACATGTGAGCGATGCCATCCACTGATCCCTTCAGCATTAAACCTCTGATCAGGAAACAGAACAGCACCAGGTAGGGGAACAGAGAGCTGAAGTACATCACCTGTGAAAATGGAAAAACATACATTCCGGAAACTGACATTTCTTTCTCATCAGATCATTCATTTGTGTGTCTTCCTCTCCACTACCTTCCCTGAGGAGGCGATGCCTTTGATGACGGCGAGGCAGACGATGATCCAGGCCACCAGCAGAGACAGGGTCATTTTAACGTTGAGGCCGCCGCTATCTGCGATGGTGCTGGTGGTGTTCAGAGTCTGACGGTACCAGAAGTAGGTTGTGGCCGAGCTTTTTTCACACTCTGGCTCCACAACTGTATGTTTTGCAGACAGAAGGAGATTGAGATTTAGAGGAATGGTTGTGAAGATGCAGCTGGAAGGTTTCAATGTCACAGTGAGGGCAAAAGGAGAAATATAATGACTGTTTGCTCCGAGTCAATATCTCAATCCCCGGCTTGTTTACACCTCTCAGACGTACATTTTTTACATTACACACACAGTATATGTTCTTGTTACCTTGGGGAAATAGGCTTATAATTATACTTTATTTGAGTTTAGAGTGAGAAGTGTTGCATTCTCCACATAACATTGCTGGGTGATTCATCAATACAGCCGACACATAGACACATCTTAATAGATGGATGACAATCTAAATCTGATGAAATCACGATGGCCTCTGCTAAATGAATTACTGTCTGGTTCCATCATGATGTGTTGTCTGGATGTATGAGCAGCACACATAGAGTGAAATGCTTTACACTCTGTCCTTCAGCGTCCTTCAGTCTGAGTCTCTGCTCCCCGTCTTCCTGCCAGCCAAGTCGCTGAGTCACACTCACGCTGAGTGTTTCTCGGCTGCCCCAGGGTTTTGTTATTATCGGCTCTAATCAAATTAACTGCAAAGGGTTTTAATCGAGATTATGTCTGGGAAGTTGTGAGGAAGTTCACACAATTTGTCTGGTCTGCTTTCTGTAGGTGTGTCGATAGATCGAGGCTATTAATGTAATCCTAAAGCTTTCAGCATAGTGGCCCATTGAGGAATTATTGTGAGATACTTTTAAACAGATTAACCATAACAATGACACAAATGGACATTTTTCCAGATATGACATAATCCTGAAATTGTAAGCACTCTTTTATTAAATTAAAATCATTCTTCTAATGTAATTGATTTCACTTCATGTATTGATTTAATACAAAACAGAAGCCGGCCAACTAATGACCAACAACCATAAAGTATTCATTATTTCAATGAACAGTAAACTCAGTAGTCATCTTAAGATCGAGGCTGCGTTCAGCTTGTGCTGAAATGTGCCCCTCCTTCAGAATCCTTCTGGTATTATTAAGCTTAGCTGCACTTAGTGTTACTACACTATAATGGTGGCCATAGTAAGCATTACAATTACGGAACATCAACATGTTTGCATTGTCATTGTGAGCATATAAGTGTGCTGAGATGAGCATTTCATTTTAATTTGATCTTTGTTGTATTTGTATTTATTGTTCTAAATGTAGTGGCACTATGCAAATACAGTCAATCCCTTATTCGTAATTACCTACACATTCACTTTTTTGTATTTATTTATTATTTGACTTACTGACAAGTGACCCATTCCTTCTGATTGGACACTCGCTCCACGGAAGAGGATACTGAAAAGACTGGAAGAAATAGAAGATGCTCCAGCCGATGATCACATTATAGTAGAGACCTACAAAGCCACACACCTGCAGATAGATAGATAGATAGATGGATAGATAGATAGATAGATAGATAGATAGATAGATAGATAGAAAGATGGATAGATAGAAAGAAAGAAAATAATAGGAATTTGTCAAATTCTAATGTCAAATTTCCCACACCCACCACACTGTACAACATGAGAAAACGTATGCAAATGAGCTTGGATGCTTGGTGCGTGTCCCATGTTGCTGTCAGTCTTCTGAGCAGTCATGCCAGCCAGGACATTCACCAGCTAAATAAGGGTTGAGGAAAGCATGAATAATTAAAGCACTCTCTTTTCAACACTGATCTTCCTCGAGATATTTATAGCTACTTCTGCACCAGCCACGCAACTCCAAAGAAAGGCTACCTTTCAGTCTCAAACACATCAATACCTCCCATAAACCCGAGAGCCTGAGGCAGTGTGAATGTGGTGGTGACTACAGATGTAAATGCTACATTATCCTGCTTATGGCCATATTTATTTAATGATTTATTTATGATATGAACAACCATATGACACACAAAATCACATTTCATCTAAAAGGAATCAAATTAGATGTTTCCTTTGTTTTAACTGCATGCTTTGTTCCCCTGTTATAACCTCCCTGATTCTTATCTGTGTACAGTACATTAAGTATGTGTTATCAGGTATGTTCTGAAAATAAAAACGAATGTCTCCCCCCCTCACCATCAGACTGGACATCCCTATCCCGCCCAGACTGGGACAGACGTAGTTCCAGACCCCAATGCTCCCACGTCGGATCTTCTGTCCCACAGCCAGCTCCAAGAAGAAGAGCGGGATGCCGATGATGAGGAGGAGGATGAAGTAGGGAACCAGATAGGCACCTGAAAAGAAAGAGGCTTTTTGAACTAATAGCTGTACATTGTCAGCTTCAGCTTTACTTGAGACCAGCTCATTTCTTATTAGTTTGTAACAGTAAATCATGTGTTTTGGGGCTGTAGTCAATGCTTTGTTACAGATGCTTTTTTCTCATTAACATGCAGCGGAGCACAAGTATTATACATGTTTAAATTCAATATTCAATACAACACATTAGAGTTTCCAAAAAAAATTACCGCAAAAATTAATAAGCACCATTTTGAATGTCCTTTAACAATGTTGATACATTACAAATGTTGTTTTATTATTACCAGTGGCATTTGAACAGCAGTTAAAAAAATCAGCATCCGTTTCACTTCATCAGCATTCAGTATATCGCCTGAACCACGCCACACTCTGAATTGCCCACAGTTCCTGTCAAACACAAGGTCCTTGCATCCATCTGCAAATGTTCTTTGACTTTCGTTGTAATTTTGATGGAAGTCTAAATAAATATGTCTCTTTGCAGCTTAATCCAGAGGCATAATCAGGATGAAACTGTTTTATATGAAGGATGAGTCACCCTCTGGGACTTAGCAGGCAAACACGTACTATTAATACACCGAAAGTAAGAAATGATATAAAGCGGTGAACACATTCAATAAAGGGTGGAGTAATGAGGCAGAGAGAGAAAAAAGTGGGTGAAAAGGCTCAATAAAGACGGCTGTAATAGAGTATGAAATAGAATAGTTAAATATAGAGAGGCTATCTGGGCCTTAGCCAGGATTTGCAAATCCACTCCATCACAGGTTATAACTGGAGCGTGAGATAGATGTGATATATCCGACAGAAGCACCAGCATAAATATGAGACAATGGAGGGAGAAATGATAGAGGAAATTAAAGTGAAAAGAAAAATGCATGACAAGGAAGAGAAATACCACACATGAGAGAGAAGCACACACAGCGATAACTCCCAAACAACACACACCTTTAATGTGTCAGTAATTGGCTGCCAGGCAGACAATTACTGAGTGAAAAATGGCCGCCCGTCAGGTCACATGACCTGTCTGGTCTGGTAGTGTACTATGAGTTTATCTTCTCTATAAGCAATACATCCTGCCTATATGCAGTAAATCAGACACAGAGAGCAGCTAACACAACAGCATTAATGGAGCTATGTGAGCAGCATGTCTATCATGATGACACTATGATCTTCCTCTAGTATAGTTTACACGTTGTACACCTCCGATTACATGCAACCCATACCAAAATAAACCCTTATCATGATACAGTTACATTTTTTATCGAGCCCTTTTTCGTTTACCAGAGTATCAGTGGACTGGCCTGCTCTGCCGACAGTAGTAGTCAATAGTGCAGCTATATTTAGACTTGGCCGGTTTCTACACAACACAGCTGCTCTGCTGCCTCCTCTGGCCTGAATCAGCCTCCATGTTTTGTGAGGGTTGGGGGAAACTGAGAGGTGAACAGCTAAACAAAAAGCTGAGCAGATGTTCAAATGCCAGAAATCATGTTTGAAAGATTTCAACAACAAATCATGCATTGTTAAAATATCACAGTATTAATACAAATAGTTACCCCATATGATTCCCTTATGTCTCTATGTTGATTTTATATACAGTATATATATCCATTTATTAAGTCATTTTGTTAGATGTTCAGTCAAAGTTGACCAACTAATTTAGAAAGGATGTTAAAGCATTTGTTTTTGGTAGCAGTGGCTTAGTCTGTATAGGGACTTGGTTTGGGAATCAGTTTGAGTACCGATACACAAAGTGTATAAAAAAGATAACACTGTATTGAATTCTTGCTCAGCCCTTGTGTCAAAGGCTGCTAGTTATTTTAAAAGCCTGCTTGTAACTTTTTACTTGTCCTGCTAGCTTGATCTACAGCTGTGTTGAATGTGGTAAATAAAGCTACATGCTGTTGTTTAACAGGAATACATGTTTACCACCTAAGTTTATTGTACTAACATTTCCTTATAAGCACAAAGTATTGCACGAATAAAAACATTGACCCAATGATGGTGCTAGAGGGAAATTGAGATGCCGTAAGTATTTATAGCAGAATAATATTTCACAGCATTGTTTGTAATTATTCTCAGTGTCCCTCGGTTGGAGACAAGCAAGGAACTGGGAATTAAATGTCACTTAAGTGCATTGACAGGTAATGTGCTTAGTGTCTGGTTTGCTGTGCTTGTCAACACTCACCTCCTCCATTCTTCTGGCACAGGTAAGGGAAGCGCCACACGTTCCCCAGGCCCACAGAGAAGCCCACCTGTGCCAGGATGTACTGCAGTTTGCTGTTCCAGGTGGGGCGTCCATCGTTTTCAGGCACCTCTATCTGCGGGACCTTTTTGCCGGGGGCCCCTCCGACGTTCAGGGAGCTGTTCTTGCAGTCAAACGGCTCCTCATGTGCGAGCAGGTCAGCCACCGACTCTGTGACGTGATCATTGCTCTGCTCGCGCTGCGTCACCTTGCTGTTCTTCGGCATCAGGGAGGCTGAGGGTCGGGAGGGGGGTGAGGGTGGAGAGAGAAAGAGAGAGCGAAAACAGAGCCTTGTGGGAACAGAAAGAGGTGATACAGACAGAGAGTAGAGAAGAGGTGGAGGGATGTAGCTCTAAGGGAGATGCTGAGGAGTGACAGCCGGATATTATGCTGTGGGCCTGCATAAGAAAACACAGGAAATTGAAAATGATGTTTCAAGGACATTACAGTTATGACAATTTAAATCAATAATCTTATATAATTGGACAAAAAGCCTCCATTTTAAATAAACAAGGTCAGGTGTTGGCCCTTGTCATGGCCCATTGAATGTATAGTACATTTAAGCTTCATTTTTCTGGCTGGGATCCATAAATAACTTCACACAGTTGCTGACACAATTATTGTTCTATTATGTGCTTGGTTAGGCTTGTAAGAGGACACAGGATTGTAACACATGTTATGCCTCTCCAGAGCTATGAAGGATGTCAACAGTAAGACAGGAGACAATCAGTCAAACCTGAGAGTTAACCGAACACAAATCTATCAGCAAAAACTCAGCAGGGACTTGAACCGTCATTTTTCCACCACAACTCTTTGTCTCTCACGCAATGTTTTTGGTTCCAGAAATATTCCTAATCCTGCAAATTGTTCTATTTCATTTCCCTGTTCTGCAAAGCTTAACTTTAGTGAAGCTTTTTTTCCTTTAAATCCCCTAATCCTCTGAAGCCATGCTGCGACATCCAGCCTCACCCCTCTCTCTGGGAGTGGTTGGTTCGACCCAAACATAATGGAGGAAGTGGATGCTTTGGATGAAGTGCTGTCATGTGTTCTCTTGATCCACAGCTCGAGCCCCTGTGCAGGCTCTCATTACTTATTGAGTGAGTCATTTCTCCATTATAAAAATCTGCCGTTCACTGGCATGCAAAACTGCAAAGCTTAGGGTATGTGAACACTGTTTCACATGCAGAGGCACAGATAAGTGAAACAAACCACCGACTACCTCACAATGTATGATTCTCTATATAGTGACTGACCATAAATCATAAAACTGAATAAAGAGGCTGCTCCTTGAGAGTGGTAAAATGTTAGTGTTGCAACCTCCTTGTAGTCACAACACGCACCTTTGATATTGACCTAAAACTAACTCTTTAACTATCTGCAGATTCTCCACAATGTAAACAAACTCAACAGAACCACTGTCAGAGTTCCTGTCAGTCCCAATGCGCCAATCGTTTCAGAAATCGTGCTCAGAATGTGCATTTCCTGTCCTTGTTTATATATTTTTCATCCCAAACAATTTCCTCCTCTCTGCATGTCAAGATGAGCCTGTGATGCAATAATCCATGGTCATTCACAAGTCTTCATAATCCTGTGTGCATTAACTGTAAAGCCCCCACGGCTGTCTTTCTGTCTCGTCATTCAATCCCATCCTACAGCATTCAAGACACGTGATATCCATCAGAGGCTGCATCATCCAGCCAACGCTGAGAAACGAAAACACCCGGCGAGTAATCCTGCTGGAAAAAACCCATCAACACACACTTCTGATAACCCCAGCTGGTACTGAAGGTCTGGCAGTGTTGAAGAGCAGTGGTATTCTTTGCAGGACAGACAAATGTTTGCGTATGATTGCAATGTTTTTTCCGCTTTAGATCACATTATTCTTATTGTGAAAGATGTAGATTTTCGGTAGAGAGATAGACACTGAAGGACGGTATTACCTTTGATTAAATAACCTACTTAATTATCTGCCTCATCTCTCTATATTTATTATGTTTTCGCTTCTTCATACATGTTTTTTTTCCAGCATAGTTTTTAACCTCCAAATGCATTACTTCCCTTCTTATAAATTACATAAGCTTATAAGCCTACTGAACAAATGTCACAATAACAGCAGAGAGTGCAATGAACAGTTATTGGAGTTTGACTTAGGAAATAATATATGCTGTAGTGTACAGGTTATCAGTTCTTCATGTATGCAGCTGTCTTCTGTTATTACCTCACAATCTTGTAAATTACTGGAGAGGAAACACAACTATTTCCATTATCAATAGATCTGAAAATTATTTTCTCGATTCATAAATAAAATGTCAGAAAAAAAGTAAAATATTATGTCACATATCCTTAAAGTTTGTCTTCAAATTGTGTTTTTGGTCCCAACAATCCAAAACCCCAAAATATCCTGTCGCATGTAACAAAGAAAAGCAGCGAATCTTTGTTTTTTTTACTTGAAAGACCACTGAAATTATCAATCGATCATAAAAAGGAACTGTCTGTCAATCAACTAATCGATTAATGACTAATCGCCTCAGCTTTTAACCAAGTCATAGTAATCAAAAGTCTCCGGTCAGAGTGTATTGAAAGCAACACAATTGAATGACAACAAATAATTCTGAGGGGCTATCGTTATTGCCACACAAGAGTGTTTTAATAGGAAACCTAGTTCACAGTTCAGTACTTTTGACCAAGACCACAAGTTCAACACAAGCTCTCAAATATCAATTACAATTGTATTGTAATCGATTAGAATGAGGTTTCACGCCACTTCCAGAAACACAGGATGTTAAGCTTGATGAAAAACAGCTGATTCTGCAGGTATTGGGAGGCTGTGGCTCAATGGAAGTGTGCTTGTATTCGAATCAGGGGTTAGCAAGTTCGAGTCCCACTGCAGTCAGCATGTTGTTGTGTCCCATGGCAAGACACTTCACCCCAAATTGCTCCTACATGTGGGGATTGTCCACAGTACCAAATGTATGTAAGTTGCTTTGGATAAAAGCGTCTAAAATGACATGTAATGTATTGGCTTAATAATCAGTCCTGCTTAAACATCACTTGTTAGTTAATTGGTCGACTTCTAGCCTCCTGAACCACAGTTAGTTTACAATCGTTTTTTTTACACTGGATTTTTTTTACACTGGAGTACTTAATGCCTGAAACCTATAACAACCAACTAGTCATACTTTACTGGCAACACCCCATAATATCTCAGACCTCTAAATAACTTCATGACCTGGACCAGTGTAAAATGAAAACATTAGGATATTGATTTGAACTTGTTTCCCATACAAACCTATTTTAATGTAAAATGCAGCTGCACAGAGCAGCTGCAGGCTGTGTAAACCTGCCCTCACTGATCAACATTAGCAGAGATCACTGTTGGGACACCAGGTGACACGGTGCTGATGCTGATATTTCAGGGTGTTTTTTCTTCGATTTAAGAGCTCATCAAAAGTGATGCAATGATTTTTAAAACGCCCAATCAAGGTCAAAGACGATCAATCTATGACCTCTGTGTAAGCTGGAACTCATTTCAAACACAATGCGAATTGAACACTAACTTCACATGACTCAAAACAAAGCTTTTAAAACAATTTTCAAGCTGTTTGTGAACTTTCCTTAGCAATTAGCGGTCTACACATTTTTAAATGCATGTGATAACACCTAGGAAGAAAATGATGCACAGAGGATGGATGTTAGGAAAAAAGAAATTCTCACCGTCAGTCTTTGGCACCGATCACCAAAATCCAGGGTTTATCATTAACGCTAGAAAATGTGTGTGTAGGCATGAATACATCCGCCGGGCAGCACTTGTGAGTCTGTGTGGCACTGACTGAGCGGGACTGGAGGACGGAGAATCACATGCTGCTCTTCCTACAATTAACATGCAGGGTGGAGAGCTCGGGACGCATCGTGACGCACCGTGACGCTCAAAGTGCCGCTCATTACCAACAATGACAAATGATCACCTGCCACTCAATTGCCGTGTGAGACTTCCGGCCATCGCATCTGTGCACAAGAAGGTGGGAGGTTGAGAGATGAAGAAGGGATTTGTCAAGGTTATCCACTCCTACCTGAGGAAGTGATGGTCTGACGCAGCTGTCGTCATTCCAATTGATAAAAAATTCATTCAACACTGGCCTGTCAGGAATCAGGATACAGAAAAAAACACAGCTAAAGGTAACGCACACAGTGTTGAGGTTTTGTTGTAACCTAGATGAGACTGTTGGTATAATAACTGAGGAGCAAGCATTTCTACTGCTCAACAATAAATGAGCATTAATAACTAAATATATAAAACTCATGATAAATATATGAACAATGAATGAATTATGCAGTGAAAGAGAGAAACGAAACACATTAGGACTTGAAGAAAAGCACATCATGTTTAGACCTTTACACCCAGACACCTGTACACTTATAAGGGTAACTCACTTAACTAATGGTCATGATGATTCATGAATTGATGCAGGATTCACACCATCATGCATTTCTGTTGTTCACCATTAACACATGCTTGAGTCTCCATCACTGTATGATTATATACTGTACACACTGAATAAATCATGAGTAAGGGGGATTTAATTCATCTTACTTTATAATATGTGACCAATATAGAAGGTTTTCAGTGATGTTCATTTCAGACCCTTGCATTTGCTAAGCCTCTTGGAAACAAAAGAAAAGCTTTGGTTATCCCCCCTTCATTTAACTTAAATTGCAAAAGTGTTGAACAAATTATGTTGAGTTATAATTTACTTAATTGTTGCTAGTGAGGCATTAGCAAAAGAAGGACCTGAATGTTGTACATAGTGGGCCAAGATGGGGCTTATTTTAGCTGCTTTATTTTGACAGCTCAATCTTTATTTTCATCATATTTCATAAACTGATCATACAGTGTTGTATATGAAAGCAGACTCGTCTTAAAAGTAACTGACAAATGAATGCAGTGGGAATTACTTCACAATTGTACTGAACTTTCATACTTTTTTTTAAACATGGTGTTCTACAGGACAATAATTACATTAAGATAAAATCATGTTTTTGTCTGGGGCCAGAAACTAATTTCCTTTGGGAATACATGGATTCTCTTTATAATCTCACAGCTTTATCTCCCTGATCAGACTGTGGACTTGGTGGTCGTTTTACTGATAAACACTGGACATGCGACACAGCGCAGCAGACACAGTGCCCAGAGGACCATAAATCATGCTCCCTCCACCAGGATATTCTTTAATACCACCAAGATCGAGGAGGAAGATATCATCAAGGAGCCATTTTTCATCCTGACCCTTCATGGATTTATTTCGTCGTCTGTTCACACGTCTGCCTCCTTAGCCGTCTTAATCAGACGTGGTTTTCCCCGCTTATCTCCTACTGTTTTTCTTCATTTGGATCATTGGTTCAGTGTAAAGGATGATAAAGAACATAGAGGAGTAAACATGTGGTATTAAGTGGGTTTAAACTTTGTGAGCCAAAATCCTATTTAACAAGCATGAATTCCACATCCACAATATTTTTGAATTAAAGCTAATTTTCCTGCATTTGTGATGATGTTGTTCAGACTGTGTCCAAGGTTAGACTTAGGCCCACAGTGTAGTTCTGGTCTGTTTGATCTATTTCTACAGCTGCTTGTCGCTTGCTGACGCTTTTGACACACCTTCTTCCAGCTGACTGCTGGGAACAGTTGCCACAGCAACCTCAGCATCATATGAATTACTTTGTCCCATCTCGCACTTTCCTCCTGCATTCCTTTATCCTATGTCTTTATCCTTTTAGCAACAACATGCATTTTCAACATTCAAAATCAAGTCACCTTAACTTTGATAAGTGATTGTTTTTTTGTGACTTCTTCGTGATCCTGTGGTTAACAGATGGAGTTTTATTACAGTAAATCTAAATACAATACATGGTTGTTTTATACTGATTGATCCTCAAACTGTGTTTCCTCTCTTTCACCAGCTGTGTATTAGACGTGTAAAGTTAATCATCTGTAAAGGTTTCTCACCTCGCTTTTATTCTCAACAGCCTGTTTCTCACCTCGTCTCCTGGGAGAAACTGTCTGACCAGAAGTCTCTAACAGGAAAATGGACGACGTGGCTGAGGCAGAATGTAGGTTTGTAACAATAAAGCGAATTTAAGGTCACAATCTTCCTCCACGAAGAACTAGCAATTGCTCTTCATTAACACAGTACAGCCTCGACTGCTGCAGGGCATCTGCTAAGTGAGCGTGGTGTCACTCAATGATACACTTGCATAATTTTCTAGGGTTATATTTAGACTGCATCAGCAGATTTGCAGGCCTGTGGGACTGTTGGTACCACAATGCTGCTGCCCTCTAGTTAGCACTTGACCGAACAATCCCATCTGGGTTTTGAGGAGCAGCAGCTTTGTTTTGCCTTCACTTTATTTATGTTCTTTACTCGTACCAGCAATTATTGTACGTACTTTTAAAAACGTTGTTTTTAACTTTGCTCCTGCTGTGATCATCTGCAGAGTTTGAGATTTGGTAAAACCCCAGAGATCTGATCTTGTTTATTCAGCACCCAACCCAGCACCAGATGTCTAGTCAATTCTATTTTCATATCCCAATATCACAAATCACACACTTTCTTTCATGGAATTAGCTCTATGAGGCTGCACTTGGGCACAGTGGTCCTTAAAGCTAATGCTAAAGCTAATGTCAGAAAAATATATTTACATCATATAATTTGCGACAAGCGCTAAAATAGCTGCTCATGTGAATGTCATCAAGATCCCCAAAGTTATTTTGACATAACCTGAGGGAGACATTGATGTCCTTCAGATGCTGAGAGAAGTCAAGGGGTTATCAAGTCAGTATTAATCAATTAAATAATTGCAAATATATTAGGATTAAATGGACAGACTCTCATTTCCATCCAAAGAGTGAACGCTGCAGCCATGAATAATAATTTCAGCATAAATATAAACTAAAGCACAGAACACTTGAGTGACAGTATTTCTTGAACTGACTTCACAGAATTTAACATTTCTCTTCGGCATGCTCTCAGGGCTGGGAGTTATTTACAAGTTTATTTTTAGCATCAGCATCCTTTCCTCTGCTCTGTCTCATTCTCTCTGCGCAGTGTCCTTCTTCTTATAAAGAATGTCTCTCTAGAATCTTCACTTCCAATATCCTTTATGATTTATGTTGGATCTCATGGTCCATGGGGTCTGACGTCAGCACCCGTTCTCTGCACGTTCCCACTCCTCTGTTCACCTTCAGTCGCCTCTAACTTCACATTGTCTCCCACCGCTTTGCAGAACCCGCTCTCCTTTTCCGTGCTCCCCCCACACCCCCACTTCCACTCACGTGCGCTCATGCATTCTGCATCTGCACCGCCACATCCGCCCAGTACTTTTCCTATACTCCAGTCTCATTTATATTCCTCCCCCTCCCCCCTCCTGATTCTCCCCTTATGTTTTGCGGTGTCTGGGTCATCTCAGCTCCTAAAAAAAGATTCCCTTCTGCACTGGCCGCTGTATATAGCTTATCTTCTAGTCCATCATTCTGAGTACAAGCACTTGAACAAACGTAATTACATATGCACTGCAATAGAAAGCAGGTGAATGTGAACACTTTTGATGGATGTGAACAGATGAGTCAAAGACATTGATGTCTACATTTGTTAGCCCCCATAGCTCTCTGTGATCAATACATTGGGACAATTAATTAAGGCATGTCCCAAGACCACTCCATCGCTCACTATTTTAAGGCAGAGCAGTTTAAGGAAATGTTCATACTTTTCATATATTCCCCTATAAGATGTTTATTTTGAAGGGCTCTTTAATTCATGCATAACTTTATTTTACATCTGTTAAAAAAAACAGCTACTGTGTCTTTCTGCTTATCTGTTCACACATCCTCAAACTGTTGTAGCATTTCCTTTTATCCAGAGTGCATCGTTGAGCCCATGCTGGTGATGTGCAGGTGTTCAGATATAGAGAAAGTGGGTCATGTTGGGCTGGAAACACACTGCAGTGCTCTGCCACGTGGTTTCAACCCTCTAAGAGTGTGTTTATCTATACAGAGTGTTTTAAAAAACCCTATGAGGAAACTCAAAATGCAGATACAATAAGAAATGAACAGTGCAATGCATATAAACAACAGACAAGACACGGTGAAGTAAGGAAACACAGTGTGAGGGCTTTAACTGTTTACACGCATGGCGGGGACGTTCAGAGAGCATTGCATACCGGTTTAAATGAGACAGGAGCGGGATCAGTTGTCTTTTGGTTGTTGTGCAGAAATGCTCAGACAGATCTGTTACTCAGCATCTGTCTGTCTCTCATGAACGCCAGCAGTGGGTCAGGCTGTTCATCTTAATGCAATGAACAAAAATAGAAACTCATTAAAAACTGTTTTTCCCCCTCACTAATCCTTTGCAGATTTCCCCTTTGACAGTTCATTTACAAAAGTCATTGCATCCCTTTCTGTTTTTCATGGTTACTATCATATGAAACGCCTATCTGTTGCTGTATAATGAAGGTTTCATATTGCAGTGAGGTCATATTACAGGCCTTAGTGAATTTGGCATGTATCTTACTTTAAATATTTAACAAAAGCATGTCTGTGTATAGGTTTTCTTCCTGTTTGTTATCTGGTGTGAACACGCAGCATGTCAGCACCACCATTTTAAATGTAAGCACTATTTAGTTGACACAGTGATGGATGAATGTTTTGGTTTGAGGACAGACAACTGACCTGGATGTTAGGAAGAGATTTAAAGCATGAACACATTTCTACACTTAAACCAATATTATACTGGGTGGCAGATTGCCTTGCTGGGCCTGCACAGGAACATGTGACAGTCTACAGAAGAACTTCACCAGATGGTCTCTCAAACAGGGGCCGGTCCAGCTCACATGGGTCGAGGGCAAAGCTTCTGTCCCCATTTTTGAACAACATAATCTTAGTAAAATGCCCCTGCAGCAAAGCACACTGCATGTACAGTAAGCATTGTCGGAGCAATACATTTAAATAAATATGATACAATTTCAAAATAGTGATTACAGTAAATTATTTTTTGTAAAATGATAAGGATATTAATTTTTGTCTTTTATACATTTTAATTTGGAAGAGTAGACTTTAATTTTTTTTTTAAATAGCCAGGGAAAACAGAGAGAGATGTTTAGTTTTTCACAACCTAATTCAAAATCTAAGCAATCTCACATAAAGTCATGGAAAAGTTAATCGAAAAAGCAGTTGCCTTCTTGGGTGTACTTGTTTGCACAAAGCGTAACAAACGTTTCTGAATTGTCAGCTTTTCTAGCAACATGGCCTCATAATTGGATGCCATCTCTCTCCCCTGCTGCCCTGCAGGCTGTAATCCTGCGTGTCTTTGAGCAGTTTAAACAGCCCATCATGGAAAGGAGCAGGGAGAAGGAGTTATTATTTTACCTGCCCCTTACTCAAAAATAGATGGCCTGTCAATCACAGCTGCCATCCTTATCAAAACTTATACATCCTCCAGTCACTGACGTCTACTGACAGATTCCTCCATGTGGTCCCGAGGTCGAGGTTGAAACAGCGGGGAGACAGGGCCTTTGCTGGAGCAGCTCCCAGGCTGTGGTACGATTTGCCTGTTTCTAAATCCCGTTTGAAGACCCAGTTATTCTCCCGTGCGTTTGCAGACCACCTATAAGACATGTCAGTCTGTGCTTTTAAATTGGGGTTTTATATTGTTTTTACGTCACATATTAGAGTTTTCAGTCTATAAGGCTTTTAGTATGGATTTATTGTCCTGTGTTTTATGTCCTATCTGTTTATATATATATATATATATATATATATATATTATATCTTTTTTTTTTTAAATAAAAAAAACAACAAGAAAAAACACCTTGAATTTCAGGCAGGGCGCGGGGCTCCGTTGGAAGGGCGCAGCGCCCCGCCAAGACAATGGTAGGGGTAACACTGCACTGCTGTGTCAACACACCGCACTCTACACACTGTAGTTTTGTACACGGATGCTCAGGTTGAACACTGACACAGCTTGAGGACACATAAAAAGGCATTTCACTGATTATTTGTAATCTGCTTTTCTACCCTGATTTGATCTTATTTGTATGTGTTTTTCTCCTCTAGTGTCCTAAGTGCAATATCTGCATTGAGAAGAACGGAGGGTGCAATCACATGGTGAGTCAGAGATGAAAATCACCCTTCCCTGAAACACGAAATGCTAAGAATTCTTTCTGTGGGCTGAAGTTCTCAAGTTGAATAGTTTCACACTTAAATCACTCCTGGTCCGGTTTGTTACCTGGCATGTGGGCCTTTTCTCTAACAATGTCTAAGCTTTATGGATGACAAAGCAGTAACAACAAACACTAAATTGTTTGTTTTTTAAAAAAGGTTTATGTGTCGATCTGCTCGAAATAATGGAAAATAGGAGATTCTTGTTTACTAATTCGCTGTCTTCCTCTGTCTTCGTTTTTCAGCAATGCTCCAAGTGCAAACACGGTACGTTTTTTGATAATCCAGTGAAGCATTAACGCACTGTTCCTTTTATATCCACCTACTGGTGGACACACAGAAAGTAGCTGCAGCTATGATTCCACGATGATATTGAATAAAGGTTGAATTATTCCTAGTGAAAGTTGATGCTTGTAGGTCTTGTTTTTTGCCTTATCTTTGGCTAATGTTGACAGGCAACAGTCCTAATTGAGTCATATAGTAGTTAACGTTTTCTAATTGCGTCTACCAGTACACCTATAATTCCCATAACTCACCAGTTTCTTCTTCATTAGTAAAATGGTATCCCTTTTTTAAATGAGGAATGTGGTTAAACAGAACGGTGGTTAGTCATCTGAAGAAATGGAACATATATTTATTACCAATCCACAGCCAATATTATCCAGTTTAGCTGAACAGAGTTGACCCTTTAGTCGGTCCTATGATACAAATGTTGTCTTAGTGTACATACTGTGAAATGCATGTCCATAAATGTGTATTTTGTCTCGCCTCAAAGACTTCTGCTGGATGTGTCTTGGTGACTGGAAGACTCACGGCAGTGAATACTACGAGTGCAGCCGCTACAAAGAGAACCCTGACATAGTCAACCAGAGCCAGCAGGCTCAGGCCAGAGAGGCCCTTAAGAAATACCTCTTCTACTTTGAGAGGGTGAGCTTTTTTGATCCCTATTTCTATTTAGCTCGGAAAAAAACTAAAAGAAATTTAAAAACACTTTGGGATAATCTATAGGGGTTTACAGAATCAAACCCGTAGAGTTGGGATGGATTCAAGCCTCATAAACCTGCTTAACATTTACATTTTGGGATTTGAGGAAGATTACATCATGACATATTTCATCCTCCACTGCCCATAGACATTCTCATAATTATAATATCACAGCACACTGTTTAAAGATTTAAATAAAACATTTTATTGACATATTTCCATCCAGCATACCTTTATTTCTACAGGGGAAATTATTGTTCTGTAGTTAATATTTTTTTACCTCTACCCCACCAGTGGGAGAATCACAACAAGTCTCTGCAGTTGGAGGCTCAGACGTACCAGAGGATCCAGGAGAAGATCCAGGAGAGAGTGATGAACAACCTGGGAACCTGGATCGACTGGCAGTACCTGCATAACGCTGCAAAGCTCCTGGCTAAGGTACTGCACACTGAACCTGCACTGTCTGTTCTCAATGCAGAGGCAGCATCACAGTTAGTGATGGAATGGAAAGGGGTAAAAAAAAAAGGGAATCTGTGCATACAATTGAACTATAAAGTCACTTTTTAAATATTATAACTGGCAAGTTTGTTTAAATGTATTTAGAAATGGTTAAGCTGCTTACAGAGTCATCAATTCAGACTTATAACTCAAACTGTGTCAGGGAGGTTGGATCACTGGAATTAAAGTGTTTTTTTATTTAGCTTGGTTTATATTGTTAAATGGTCTGGGAAAAAACACAAGTGACCTGATTCACTTTCTGTTTTCCTCATTGGATGATTTTAAAAGTCTCTAGCATCATCATTAAAGATAATTTCAATCAATTACAAGGTGCCTTCCTTTATTCTGACACAGTCTGACTTTAAGTGAACATTTCCCAAACTTTGCTTCTTCTCTTCTCTTTTGCAGTGCCGCTACACCCTGCAGTACACGTATCCCTACGCCTATTACATGGAGTCCGGCCGGAGCAAGAAACTGGTGAGGAACTACATCTCTCCACCCTGTTCATTACTGCAGAACACACATTGTAAAATAACATTCGGCACATTCACACCGCAGTACTTTTCCCACAAAAGCCGCGTTCACACCGCAGTACTTTTCCCACTTTAGTTCCGATATATTTCAGAAATGTCGCGTTCACACCAAAAAGAGCCGGAACTAAAATTATTTCATGAGAACCCCCTTTTCTCTCATGCGGCTCTCTTGTGAGAAAAGAGCTATATTTCTGATTGGCTGGGCGGATTGCAAACCACGCCCCGTAAAACTCAAAAAAAGTGTTGTGAAGCCACCATTTTATTATACTCGCATTAGCATTATTAGCATTAGCCCAGCGTAGAAACGCAGAAAGACTAACTTATGGCAACACAAAATAAAACATGGGAGCGGTGGAGATGAGGATGCGTCGGCTTTCTGGCGATTTACTCAGAAGGCTTCAGTAGAAGCTGCTGGGAGTCCCAACAGCTTCTACTGAAGCCAGTCCCCAACTCCGGGGACTTCCGGCCAGGGATTTTGGGCGGCAGTATACGCCGTGAAGTTGTTTGCGGCCTGCCAGTAAACCCAAAGCAGAAGAAGTGACGTCAGCGGCTTCATTTGCCTAATCAACCCCCAGGGACTTATTCCGGTGTGAACGCGATCTGTACTTAGTTCATCAGATCTAAAGAGTTCTGATGAACTAAGTTTTCATGAACCTTTGTGGGAAAAGTACTGCGGTGTGAATGCGCCTAAAGGCTCATCAGAAGTGTGTGTGTGTGTGTGTGTGTGTGTGTGTGTGTGTGTGTGTGTGTGTGTGTGTGTGTGTGTGTGTGTGTGTGTGTGTGTGTGTGTGTGTGTCNAAGCCAGGTAATGGAGTATGGAAGCAAAGCTGCGTGGGCCGGTACTGGAGCATGGAGGCATGGCTGCTGGGGCCTGTACTGGGGCAGGAGCCATGGCTCTTGGGGCTCGGACTGCTAGCTTGGCTTTGCGACTCCTTCTCTTAGCAGCCGCCTGAAGGCTCCGTGGACCTCCATAAGCCAGACGAGTTCCAGCATACGACTCCTGGACAGGAGCAGGAACTGGGGCAGAAGCATGGGTTGTCTTCAGACGGATCCCACCGAGGTATATGGTACCAGGTTGGGAATCCCACACCGGGATCATGGCTGTTGGTAGAGGTGTCCCGAACCGATCACATGATCGGGGATCGGAGCCGATCACGTGATTTTCAAAAGATCGGAATCGGGAGGAAAAAAAATCGGGAATCGGGATTTTTAAAATTTTTATTTAAAAAAAAATATTGTTACAAAACAAAAATGACCATGTTCAAGTCTTAAAGTCATCCTGAGGCCTTAGTTTTGGTTTCAAATTACACAACATCATGTATGTGTTGCTTCTTTGGGGCTTGTTTTCATAGACCTATTTCTCTCAAATCTGGCAACAGAGTGGGCAGGGCGCAGTGTCTAATTGTAGCAGTAAGCTAACGAGTACTGATAAGCTTTATTTTGTTTTGATCCAATGCTGCACAGCTGAACTGATCCAATGCTGCTGTGAAAAAAATAAGCTATATCCATGTTGGATAGAATATCCAATTTAAATAAAAAAAATAACCTTAAGGGACAACTTGAATGCTTTTTTTCTTTTTTTTCTCTTAATGCATTGCATAAAGATCGGATCGGGAAAAATCGGTATCGGCAAATTGTCAAAATCAAAAGATCGGAATCGGATCGGGAGCAAAAAAAGGTGATCGGGACATCCCTAGCTGTTGAAGCACGGGATGGAATCCTGGCCCTGCATCTCCTAGAGGCTCTTTGGAGACTCCGTGGACCTCCAACAGAACCGTAGTCGTATCCGAGGAAAGGGTTAGAAGCGTCGGACCAGTCCTCAGGACAACATGTGAAAAGATGTAACCAATCCGGCAACGAACTTCTCAACCAAGGCATTTCGGCCACCTCCATTCGTGCTCTCTCGAGAATAGCCTCTTTGTCCTTCCTAGAAGAAGTTCCTTTCCACTCGGCATGAGAGCATTGAAGGGAAAAGTCTAGATCGGACAGTGTCCGATCTAGACTTTTCCCTTCAATGCTCTCATGCCGAGTGGAAAGGAACTTCTTCTAGGAAGGACAAAGAGGCTATTCTCGAGAGAGCACGAATGGNTTACAACCTCAACCTAAGTACCACGTAACCATGCTACTGATGCTGGACAGTTTTTCAGTGGATGCACAATAAACGGCAACATACAAATTAATGTAAATAAATAGCCAAATAATGGATCAACACTCTCTGTCTAATATGTTCGCTAGCTGTTAGTGTTGTTGCATAGCAACCACCTCGCACTATGTTTTGTGCAGAAGGCAACGGAGGGACTATTTTATTTTGAACATCATTATTTACTGATAAAAACTATTTAAATTAGAGTGTGTATTTTTCTTTCATATTGCCACACTTGGTAACCGTTTTATAAAAGCAATAGCTCACTTCAGGCCGTGATATATGCTCATTATATCACAGCTTAGGGACAACCACGGCCTGTCGTGAGCTATTGCTTAATTATATAACAGTAAATGGGTAGTTGGTAAGATTATTATTATTTTTTTAATAAGCTTAATTTGCAAAGTCACATTTAATTTAGGATTTTAGATTGATGGAATTGAATTACTCATGTACACATATTTCAACAGTACTCAAGTAAACTATTTGAGTATATGTACGAAGCCAACCTTAAAAACAAATAGGTGTATAATTGACCCTGCTACTATGTTGATAGTTTGCGGTTAAAAATATTATGCCAATCTAAAAAAAAACACTTTTCCGGGCTGTCATTTACAAAGGTTGGTGGATTCTAGAACAAAAATGTTTCCCACTTTATCAGAACATAAACTATTAAACAGTAGCTTCCAAACATCCTACAGAGCTGTTTTATAATAGGAAGTGTCTCCCTGTCCTGCTCAGGAATAAACACTTGAGGGTGCAATCCTCCCCATACTCCATGTCGCTGTGTGAATGTAAAACTGGGTCACACACTCAAGTTCAGGAAAAGTAGTGCAGCAGTTAATATGGAACTATAAACATATTAAAATAAATGGAACTACTACAAGGAACCCTGTTGTTGATGTGCAATTATTTCACAACTTTTATTAAATACACCTTGAAAAAATTACTTCAATGGTGGATACGGCCATGCCTGTAGCCAGAGGCGGAGTGATTACCACTCCACTATTGCCTGTAGATTTAGCATTTCTTTGACCGTCAAATACACACACGCACTTTTTGCCCCCACCCCTGAAATGAATCCGGCGCCGCTGCGTGGCACGCAGTACACATAGGCTGTGTCAGGTCCCTGTAGGTGCCAATTTGATAATGTCAGAGGTGGCCTGGAGCTCTGCAGCATGTCAACACATCAGTGACTGTACAGCAACATTATAAATATGAGTGTCACTGAGTCATTATGTTAGAAGCAGAAGGCTGGGCAGTACAATGTTAATTATGGTCCAAAACACATTCACCTGCTAGATTATGAACGAGTTTGAAAACTCAGGTCGGCTGGGAAATCTCTGCTTTTTGCTTCCCGAGTCAAAGCTCAACATGGAGAAGCAGTGCACCGTTTTTAAGCTATTTAAATCTGGAAAGAACTCCCCAATAACGTCAGGTTTGTAGCAATTTTGTTTTTAAAAATCAAGAATGAAGAGGTTTCCATTTGCTTAAATCAAATTATGTGTCTTACATTGCACTGTGACTTTATTCTATTTTGTAGCCATTATATTTTAGCATGTTTATTTTATATTCTCTTGGCTTGTTATTGATAGTTTTAAATTGTTCTTTAAATGTAATTCACTTCTATGAACTTTAAAGTTAAATTCAATGAGATCTTTCAGTTTGTCTATGTATGTGTACGCGTGCGTGCGTGCGTGTAATGACCACACAAGAGACAGGGTCCGGTTTTAAAAACTCTCAGTAACTCTATTTCTGTATTAATGTACAACCGTTGAAAATTACAACAACTTCTTTGTATTTTTTTCTTTTCCAACTATCAACAGCCATTTTCCAGAAGGTAAGTGAACAATGTGAGCAAGAAGAAAGGAGAAAACAAAGAGCAAAATAAACTGTGGGTATCAATGTAAAGAGAAGCACAAGATGGGGGGGAAGGAGGAAACAACAATAACTGTTAATGTTTATTTTCTGTAAAGGAGTGTTTGAGCATGTGTTAATGCGTGCTAATAATGCTCCGACTATGATGGCAGGTGGGTCCCGTCGTGTGTATGAATGGATTAGATTACCCTTAACTTCATAATCTGATCAGTGGAGGTGCAAGTGTTAGGTTTAACGAGGTCTGGCTCACACTGGTTTGGCTATACGCTAGCTGAACACAATCAAGCAACAGAAGCAGTACAACAGCATAAAGAGACACAAATGGGTCTTAGTTATTTAGTAGTTTCACTTTGACCATAACAACTAGCAACTATCTGCTGGCAGTAAGATCTGTAGTAGGTCAGGTTATAAACTATAAATCAAACCAAAGGGGGAAGGACGATGTGTTTATTGCGAAAGATTGGTAACAAAATCAATTATTTAAACAAACATTATTCTTATGCTTTAGTACTTTTTTTTCATGAACATGCATCATATGTAGGAAAATACTGGTATCTGTTAATTATTAGGAGTATGTGAGGTCAACATTTGTCCACAGTAAACACACCATGTACAGGGATTATGTCAGAATATGTATTATGTTGTATGTTATCGTCCTGGTTGGTAATAAAGCTCAAAACAAAGCCAGAGCAGTGACAGTGGCACTTTCCATCTAGAAGGATAACACTTCAATAGTTGAGAGCTTCATTCATTAAACTTTCTAGAAATACTACGCCGCCTTTGTCATAATAAATGTATTTCTAATTTATGTCATTTAACCTTTGCAGCTTTGGAGAGTCAACTGGGAAAAAAAATGTGTTCAGGGGAATCCAGTTAGTACTACAACTGCCAGCCCTTTGTCATTATGGTCTATGTGAAACCACGGAAAACAGATCCATTATCATCACTGTCTCCTTAAAGAAAATGTTTTCCACTAGCCACATCTTCTTTGCCAGCTTAACACATTTTTTTCATAACTTTACCTTTTCTGTAATATTTGTTCTAGCATCATAGGAAAAATGTTGTTGCACAACAGCTCTCATCATCAGCTGCTTCTGACCTCAACAATTTGACCTTCATCATCAGATCTGTAAAGCTCCATCAAAGTGTAACCATGGTGAACATGATGCTCTGTAGCACAAACATGTACATAAGGTGAGCAT